CCAATTGGTACAGACCTTGGCAAATGGGTGAGTTAAGACCATAGCAAACACGTGTAGTGAGGCTGTAACAAACAGGTGCGGTGATATCACTGCATACAGGTGTGGTGAGATTGTAGCGAACAGGCATGGTCAGATGGTAGCACACAGGTGTGGTGAGAACAGGTCTCTCTTCAACATGCCTACTTCCAGTTCCATGCCCTCATCCATGCCTGCTTCTGTTCTTCGAGGATCTAGAAAATAATGAGAGATGAATACATCATGTAAGTTGAGTGTCCTTAAGAATGGAGGCTCTCATAGAGCCTACATATCTAAGGCAAGCTGTCATTGACACCATGTACTCGTAGCTAACTTTGTAAACACATGACGATTTGCTTCCACAAACTACACTCGAACATTAATAATAAAAATTTAAAGTAGCTTATAAACACTTAAAAAAAGTCCCGTTCCATTCCACAGTAAACCTCACTAAGGCTCACTTAGTATGGTATTCTCATTTAACTCCAAAATTAAAATTAGAACGAAACTTATAAGCTCTTCATATTTTCGAAAAAATATACTCAACACTGCAAGTATTTTTAAGATACACACGATTATTCCTCAGGCCTCTATATGTATGTACACAACAGTCACATTTCAAGCCACAACTAAACAAACTTAAATGTATAATGGCATTTCTTCTTTATGTGCTTTAGTAGTATGAATTCTAGCCAATTAAAACCCTTATCATTGTTACTGACAGTCACACCAAATATGTAAATAAGTATTTTCCGGACATTTCATATCCAAGGGAAGGATAGTGGCTACTTTCCAATTTGTATTCTAGACGTATATAAATGTCTTGCTATATTAAACTACAGACCAAACGTACGATAGGCGGTAGTAAATTAGTCTTTTCCATTTAATAGAATAGATGTAGAGTAGTGTAGTGCCTAATGCCTTTACTTTAGTGACGAAAGCAACAGAGCAGGTAACTCGGCAGTGTTACTGATATTCCCTGGTCAAGACTTGAGAAGCTTAGCTTAGTAACAACATATTTGTTTATTAGTTGGCGGGCGCTCCATCAAAGTAACAAACATGCACTGGGCATTGCAACGGGAAACATTTCTCGCTCAATAAATGACGTTTTTGCTCACAGTTGAACACTCCTTGTTAAACTTTTTTTCATGTTATGAAAATATGGTATCCATTGGTAGCATAGCCACTGTCACCTGTCAGCACTGTCAAGTTAGTGGCTTTGGTTTCATCGAAGTTTGAACTATCAAACTTGCAGTCCAACCTCATTTCAGGATGGTATATGTCTTTGGTCGATAAATTTGTATGTGGCATAAACTATTCAATAATTTTTCATCAAATTAAAAATGAGTAATAATATTTTCTAGAAATAATTTAGAAGTACCGTCAAACGGGGTAAAAAGGGACAGGCGTGGTAAATAGGGCTGCACGTCCCACATTTCGTAGAAATGTTGTAGCAGCTAAACCAGTGGTTCCCAAAGTGGGCTATATCGCCCCCCTAGGGGCGGTAGAAAGATTTTGGGGGGCGGTACAAAAGATGAGGGCATTTGGTGGGCAATAAGAGGGGCGGCAGGCCGAAGTCAAAGTCAGAAGTTCCAACGTTTGTTGGACAATTTGTATACAACACGTGCAGCATTTCATGACTCCCAGCGATGGTTTTTTCACCCAGATCTGTTTATTTTTAACCTCTCCTGGGTTTACGTCTCGGACAAATTGACGGCCGGACTCGCAGCTGGTCTCACGGCCAATTTCCAAATTAAATGATCAAGGAATATCTCTCAAACTAATGAACTTAACTCGTTGAAACTTGGTACACATATTCATTAGGACCTAGCGGTAATGTTTAGTTTGTGAATTTTTTTTTTAATTTTGCCTTCATTTGCTTTTGCCATAGTTATATGGCAATAAGGGCCAAAATTCACAGTGAACAAGGAATTTCTTCCAACCATTGAACAGATTCGAATGAAATTTTGAATTTTCAGTCCTAACTACCGAACGGTAGGTAATGTTTAATGTTTAGCTTGTGAAAATTTATTAAATTGCGCCTTTGTTTGCGAGTTTTTTTTTCATTTCACCTTCATTCGTGATTTAAACAGCAATATGTGCTTAAATTCGCAGTAATCAAGAAATTTCCTCCAAAACTACTGAATAGATTTGAACGATACTTAGTATTTAAATACCTAACCTCAGCAACGGTGATGTTTACCTTGCTACAATTTTTCCGTTTTGCCTTCGTTTGCAAGTTATACGCTATAAGTATACGGATATTCGTAAGCGGTGCTTAGTTAAACCGGCTGGTAGAAAAGCCGGTTGTTCCTCCTACATCTGTATAACTCGGGAACGAAAGCAAAATAGAAAAATTGTACAAGCTAAACATCACCGTTGGGAGGTTAGGTATTTATATTCAAAGTTTAGTTGAAATCTATTGAGTACCGTCAACCGGGGCAACTCGGGACTGGCGGGGCAACTCGGGACGCACCTCTAACACTTCGTAAAACAGTCATAGTAGCGAAACTAATTGGAATATTGCTTAACTAAATATAGTGGCCTAAACAACATTTTTTCTATCTATGTAGTATAAAGGAAGTCGAAAAATATGACATTTACTAGCTTTGAAAAATTCCTGAAAAAAATGGTGAAAAACGCTATTTTGAAAAGTTACTTCTGCCAAGGTGTGTAGTAAAAAAAATATTCACTGTATTAAAAAATTTTACATACATAAAAGTTGCACCCAGGTGTCGGCTTGAAAACGTAATTGACAGATTTTGCCTATCTCATTCCAAAAAAAATGGCGGTCATTTCCGCACGGCGGGGCTACCCGGGACACCCCTCCGGGGCTATTCGGGAAACCCCCAAAAGCGCATTTACAGTAGAACCTCAGTTAGCAAAGGCTCCAGTCAAGAAAAAAATTGATTAAAAACAAAGAATATTGATTACATTTACCTTGCTGAGCGAAGAAAAGTCCACTTATCAAAAAATTAGTGCATCATCTGTCATCACAAAATTGTGCATAGAATGTCATATTTAGAATTGTGCACCAGCCACCAGGCATCGTAGAATGAAAAGTAATTGACCTAAACAATGATTTATTTCTCCAAAACATATGATGGTTGTCACTATAACATTCCTTTCTGTTTCAGGTCTGTTTTTCACAATCTTTTTAGCACATTTTCTCATTTATGGAAAAAATTCACTATTGTGCTCGCCATGTCCGTCTGTCTGTCTGTCCGTCTGTCCGTGACCTCAAGTTTTTGTCGACAAGAAAATGCGCTCTGTCACTCACCGCAGTGAGCACTGAGTTATTATTTTTTTTATACGGTAGTAAATTCACTTAACCCAATTAAAACGGTGTGAAATTACAAGCCGTCCTGTAAGCTTACAGATACAAAAAAGTGCTATAAGGCTGCTGATATGAAGCTTGCAGTGAACAAGGTTGTTGTAAATGCTCAATGGCATGTTCATGGATACGGTAATATCACGTCAATAATACAGTAATATTGCATCAATAATATGGTACCCTCAACTGGGGTGACTTTGGCCACGTTTTTGATTTTGTTTTGCAAACAAAAGCAGGGTCATAAATGATGGCCAAAGTCACTCTGGCATTTATGACCTTGTTCACGACCCTGGGGTTTATGACCCCAGCGTTTACGACCCCGTTTTTGTTTGCAAAACAAAATAAAAATTGGGGCAGAAGTCACCCCAGTTGACCGTAATTAATGTTTATGGTAATATCATCATTCATCAATAAAGGAAAAACAAGTAAAAATCACTGAAAATGTCATTTATTCTACCTCTACATCATCTACAATGAAAGAGGAGGACTTCAGAGTACTGTTAGTAATGGATGAGTACACTCTGCATGCTTCAAATATTTTGAAATGATGTTTTATTCCAAGTGTCCCGAGTAGCCCCGTTTGACGGGGCTACTCGGGACACTCTTTTTTTGCTTCTGGCACCTTACGAATAGCATATGGAATTTTTTTGAAGATGCCATACGATAGCCCTCGCAAAGAGCTATAAAATGAGCCTAAACTTGTTTATGAAATGCTTCATGGTAAGAAGTTATTAACAAAAAACGCTCAAAACCGTCCCGAGTAGCCCCGGTTGACGGTACAAAAGCCCTCGCAAAGAGCTATAAAATGAGCCTAAACTTGTTTATGAAATGTTTCATGATAAGAAGTTGTTAACAAAAAACGCTTAAAACCGTCCCGAGTAGCCCTGGTTGACGGTACAAAAGCCCTTGCAAAGACTTTTAAAATGAGCCCAAACTTGTTTATGAAATGTTTCATGGTAAGAAGTTATTAACAAAAAATGCTCAAACCTGTCCCATTTGACAGTATATATGCTATACCAGGGGTGGAAATATTTACTGTCCAAGCTGTGACTAATTTCCCAACATTTTCAGAGCTATGAGCTGCCTGCTAGATGAATAATCTCACATCTAATTGTTAACAAAAAATAAATAATCAAGCCAGGGGATTACTAACTATTTGAGAATAAGCTGTTTTGAAGCTGCTAGATTTTAATAGCAAGTAGGAATTTACCAATCTTTATACACTACAATAATTTCCATCATTCACTTTTCATATGTACCTACTTCTGTTTGTTTGTAGTGTTGTCTTGCATTCCTTTTTAAAATCCAATGGTATTTTGCTATGCACAAAAATGTTTTGGTGATTAAAGACTACCATTATATTTCCTAGTCTCTACCTAGTCTTCTCAATGAGGAAGACTTATTTGCACAACACATGTGTATACCTATATATTTTATTTAACTAAGTAGCCCAGTTCACATATTAAATCTTTAGAATCTCATACGCACCTACACTCATCTCATGTGTGACCTTTTGAATTTCATGCACTAATTATTAAATCTGTTGCTATGCCTTTGAAAATTAAAGTTCAAATTTCATTTCACCAGTTGAATAGAATAAAATAAATTTTGACAATTTATTCTGATCAATTAATGTTCCATTGTTTTCCAGGATGATGCAACATCTAAGCTTGAACACATGGGATACTCAACAGGCTACAGATTAGCAGACAGGTATATAAATACATGGAAGCATATTTTCAACATCTTGAAATTTTAAAACTAAAACCTCTATGAATGACTAATATTGATATATACTTAACTTGGCAGTTTAACCACTTAAAATTTCATTTGCCACGAAATACTTTCTATACATTAATCCGTAAATAACCGTAGAAATAGTGACTGAATTTGTCTTTTATTTCTGTCCTCATTGTTTGTGGAGTCTTATCTTTGCCAGATGATTTGACATTGTTTTGTGACTAAACACTGTTAAGTAACCAGCTTCACACTTTGTATCAGTTCTGGGGCTTGGTCTATTTGCTGAATTAATTTATCTGAGTCTGATAATGAGTAATAGTCAGAAGATAGGCCTTTTATGATTTCATTTGCATTTGTTCTAGCAGCAATTAAAGGTAAAAATTTTCTGCATGTACTTGTACCTATAAAGGTTTTAAATAAATAGAGATTTACTGCACTGGTTAATTCATCTTCATGTTCTCAATCACAAAGTGTAATTTCATTTCAGATTGAGTCGAGAATCTCTACGCTTCAATGATGAACTGGATCTACTGAAATATGTGTGCAAAGTGGTTTGGAGTGCTGTTTACAGAAAAGAAGTTGACAACTTGCGCACAAACCATCAAGGTTTCTATGTTCTTCATGACAATGCATTTAGGTTCTTCACTTCAATGTCCAGAAGTAAACAGTACTTGGAACAGGCTCCTAAGGTAAGTCATGAGATATCTGAGGTAGAAGCTTTCATGATGGTTATTTGCTCCTAATATATTGATCAACCTAAATAGGATAGTTATTTATAACAATTTTTGAAATTCGATGAGTGAAAAGTACTATTTGTTTATGATTGAATTTTGGTTTTATTCTTAGTTTTCTCAACAAAAAATGATTTTGCCAACATCCAGATTTAAAAGTAATAAAATTATCTGTTCCTGGAATTGTTTGGTAGGTACAGTACTTGGCTTATCATTTGTTTAACCAGGATTTGCTCCTCATTAAAGACAATTATTCACAATTTTGGGTTCCTGTCCCCCAAAGTAACTACCTACCCTTGGGTCAATTGAATTCTCTCCTTGAAGCCACAACAGTCTTCCTATGTGACAACAATATATTTACTGCTAGGATAACTCCTCATTAAATCTACGGACTTTTCACTAAAGCTTTGAATTAATTCCCTTAGCAACCATTCCAATGTTTTGTATAGCCACTGGTTCTTAAATTTTCACTTTATTGTCCATATGACATGACGTAATCATCGTGCTACAGCTTTCACGTATTTTCTTATATTTAATTTATATATTCAGATGAATGAAAACAATCACTCCACCACTACCAGCAAAATATCTGTGTTGATGTGAAACACTGTTTGTTAAACAAAACTAAAGCAGCACCGAAATTCACACCTAAGTTTGAGAACCACTGTGTCAAACGTACTATATGAGCCAAACTCCTGTTTGATCCAGGATACCGGTAGTATATACCTTGCCAATACCTCGCATTAAAGCTTCCTGTTTGTTACAGTACCCAGCCAATACCTCGCATTAAAGCTTCCTGTTTGTTACAGTACCCAGCCAATACCTCGCATTAAAGCTTCCTGTTTGTTACAGTATCTGGCGCTGCCGTGCGGGGTGGTGCGCGGTGCTCTAGCCAACCTCGGTGTGCAGTGCGTGGTCACGGCTGAGGTGACCACGCTGCCTGCTTGTAAGTTTCAGGTGCAGGTGCAGAGAGCATAAAGGCTGCTCGTCCTGACTACATTATCTACTGAGCGACTCGGAGCAATTATACTCGTTCTTAGGCCTTACTCTTCTATAAGGTCATAAAGTTCATAGGTAAATATTTCTGCTGATGCTAAGAATTTTTTTAAAAGTCCGCATTAGGAAATGTAAATAGGCTTCAAAGAGCTGATGACACTCAGCTTCATTTTTCTACAGCGTGCATTGATAATAGGCACAATTGCACCGCACAAGAAGTCAACCATAAGAATCAATATATTTTTCATTGGTTTTTCAGTCTGAAAATCTTCATGCTTAACCAAACCTCATGTACAGTCCCATCACGAATTTGCCACCATCCATTGATTTAGAAAGATCTTTGTGAAGTCGATTCGATTGATCTGGTATGCTCAGGAATCATTATTTTGGACGATAAAATTAGGCGTTTTGTACCATTGTACATTATTGAGGTAGTTACTCATAACCAAACTGCCACCCAGCGTCTAAAATGCCAGCTGGCTCCACCGATGGCCCCTCGTGGCAACTTGTGTGATCACATTGTGCTCTCCTGAAGCCTCAGACCAGCAGCCTCGCCTTGGATTAGCAGCCTTCGTGTCGTGAGTGTCGCTAGGAATTAGTGACTTTACTTTTTTGCCTCTGTCTCTATATTTCTTTTGTACATACGACTGCAATCCTATCATATACTTGTGTTTTCGCTCCCCCCTACCCATACCCTCATCCCCCCTCCCCCATGGAGCACTACTGCCTCGAACCCGATGGGCTTGCCCCAGAGGGCTAGGGGCTCCACTACTAACCAACCACCACGACCCCGACTTCCATCTGTATCACCACGTCGCCCTCCCTCATCATCATCAAAATCATCACATCAATCACCAAGCACTCATGAACCCTCGAGACCCCAAACCTACAGAATCCAACTTAAGAAAATCGACCCCAGACTTCCCACCGACCGACCCAAAATCTTCCAAACTACATTCAAAGAACTAGACGCCCCACTTATCCGACTAACCGACACCGCTTCTGGATTTTACTCAGTGACAGACGACGCATCAATCGACAAACTGATCTCCAAAAAAGCGATTGAACTGTTCAACAAAATTCATCTGACGCCAATCATTCCACCCGACTTACGTGCGAAAAGGACAATCTTTGTTAGGCAACTGGACAAAGACGTAGTAGGTAACCACAGCCCCGCCGAAATCAAACAAGAGATCTTAATCTTAACCCAACAGAACTGACTACACATTCAATACGTCATTCAAATAAAACACTACACACACGTCATCAAAATAATCACCACAGACACCACGATAGCACAACGGATTCTCACCCACGGATTTTACATGTACAAAACCAAAATCACCCCATCACAATGTGAACAGGAACATTACACACACCTCCTCATCTGTTACAAATGTTACAAATTTGAAGATCATCCAACCCACTTATGCACCTCAACTACACCTTCATGCTCAGAATGCGCTGCCAAAGATCACACACACACAATGCACAAACACATACAAAAAATGTCTCAATTGCCACAATGACGGCCGTACACTAGCAGCAAACAGTCCATACCGCAAACAGAAAATTCAACACAAACAATAGACAGAAGTTGAGACAATCAAGACTACGACCAATCAAACCTACGTCGACATCGCCAAACAAACAATTCAGCAAACAAACATCCCCCAACACAGCCTGACATTGACGGACAAGACTCAACTGAAACTAACAGCCATAATACTGGAAGCCCATATTGCCAGCCTCTCCCGCCAGGAGGGGTTCGGTAGCATCCTATCCAAATCCCTGAAAGCCAACTATGACATAGACGCGACGTTCCCCGACAGTGACTCAGCAAAAATTTTCAACATCTACAACAAACCTAAGACCAATACTCCTGATACTGACTTCTCCCCTGAGACCGAATTCATCGAGGACGACGACCACAGACGCTCATCGCTCAACCTTTCTCAACCGCAGCAAGACGACAACAATCGAAAAAATGACCTCCCATCCCTGAAATCCATAACTGATATAGAAGACCGCGACCCTAGAAAAAGGAAAAACGCTGACGAACAATACAAAGAATCATACATTAGTGGAACCGGCCTCAACGAACCCATCCCCATCAAACTATTTAGGAGTTCACGAGACAGAGACGAAATTCCCACGGACCCTCCTAACCTTTGGTTTGCCGACGAACTAAGAAAGAAAGACTACGGACTGAAGCTCTCGGTGAAGGACGCTGACTCATCGAAAATACTTGACTACCTGAAACGTGAAGAATGAAGATACTCCAACCATTAATAAATATCATTCCTCACGACATCTGCGCCAACATGGACAAGCACACAACAACAACCACCAGAAAGACGAAACACTCCACACTCAAACACCCATCACAATGACCCCCCCACCCTCTCTAAAGATAATACAACACAACGTCCGTCACTGGCACAACAACAGATTCATCCTTGCAAACATTTACAACCATATAGACCTAGACATAATACTAATCAATGATCACTCCATTATAGACAATAACACTCCCTCAAAATATTTAATTACATCGTTCACACCAGCAATAAAGACAACACAATTCACTCCGGTGCTGCCATCGCAATCAAACGCCATATCCCATACAAACTACACGTTAACTTTCATACAGACATGCTCGCAATCACAATAGACACCCAACAAGGACCCATCACAATAGGAACGACATATATCCCACCCCGCACAGGCTACATCGACTTCCACACACTTTTCAATAGGCCCCATCCCGTATACCATCTCGCAGACCTAAACGCACGACACACCACACTAGAGAACTCATCCTCCAACCACGTAGGCAAACAATTACACTCACTCATAACCCGACACAAGTGCACCCACATCGGCCCATACTTCCCAACCCTCATCACACACAACAGCACAACATCACCAGACATAGTCCTAACAAACAACAAAGCATTTCACAACATACACCTACAACCAGGACCCATCACACCTTCAGACCACATTCCAATAATAGCCACAATTTCTGCTAACCCCATACAAATTCCCATTCGCCCCGCAGATTTTTCCATAGAGCCAACTGGACCTAATACAAACAAACGCTATCTCACCACACAGTCCCCACACAAACAAACCCTACTTTAGAAGAAATAGATACACATTTAGACAAATGGACACAACACATACAGGATGCAACCGACACCTCTATCCCCACTATAACACATTGCATCATCAAACCTAATCACGAAATATTACACATACAAACACAATATCAAGCTACACTCCAACACATTCACACACACGGACCATCAATTGCACTCAACAGACAACTCATTACCCTACGCCAACAACTACACACAGCATACAGACACATACAAACACAGACTTGGAAGGACCTCATCAACACTCTGGAAACACAAACAGACCTCCAAAAATTCTGGTCTTTCCTTAAACGCATGATAGGTTCCAACACTAAACAAGCTGTCCCATACCTCAAACACAACAACATACAACATGACACACCCGAACAAAAAGAATCCATCTTTCGCACACACTAGCAGGACATATTCACACAGAACGACACAGACAACGAAAAGTTTAACATAGAGAACACATTCACACCATAGAAGACCAAGTCAACAACAATATACACCTCATTTCTCTACACAATACAGGTGACCTTGCAAGACTCCACCCAGTAGACTTCCCACTCATCACCACCAGAGAACTATTACGTACACTCAAAACATTTAAACAGAAAGTACCCGGCCCCACTGGCATCATAACCCTCCAACTCAAACATCTACCCAAAAACATGATACACTACCTTCTATACATATTCAATCACTTTATTTCCGCTGGTTACTTTCCCGACTCACTAAAACACGCCGTCATGATCTTCCTCCCCAAACCCAACACTTCACAACACCAAGTCCAAAATTACAGACCGATTTCGCTGACTACTCGACATCCACGGGAAGCTTCTAGATAAAACACTCAACAACAGATTATACGAACACCTTTCCATTCACAACATACACAACACTAGACAACACGGTTTTAGGAAACACAGAGGGACACACACAGCACTGGCCACATTCCACGAAACACTAGCCATACAGTTAGCACAAAGACACACCACTGGCATAGTGCTCCGCGATGTGACCAAAGCCTTTGACAAGGTTTGGCACACCGGACTCCAGTACAAAATCATCCAACTCAACCTCCACCCGTCCTTCACCAAAACACTATCAGACTACCTTACAGACAGAACAGCATCCATAAAAATTGGCAACCACGTAGGTCCCCCACTACAACTTCACACAGGTGTCCCCCAACGGCTTGTCTCTCCCCCACATTATATAGCTTCTACACACATGACCTCCCACCACCACTACCCAACACAGATTACATAGCATTTGCAGACGACATAACACAAATAACAACAGGACGCTACAAACACAACTATGCTGCACTGCAAACATAACACGCAATCCAACAGATAAACACATTCGAAAACAAATGGCTAATTAGGACCAATACTGCCAAGTTCAAAATCATCCCCATCAATAGAAAAAATACATCCGACATTTTCATAGACAACATTCACTACCCATACACGAACAACGGGAAGGTTTTAGGTCCCAAGTAACTGTGTGGAAAGCAATAGCTCTTACAAATCGTCATAAAATATACAGATTCTATCACCTTCGTCCGAATATAAAACGTACCCTATACCTCACCCTTGTTAGGTCAGCGCTCATTTATCCCTCAATACCCCTACACACCCTATCCAAAACAGCAATATCACAACTACAAAAAGTCCAGAATAAGGCTCTGAAATTCATTACAAACACACACTGGTCCGACTTCATATTAAGACCTTAAGATCTCCCCAGATAACATACCCAGAGTGTTTAGGGACACACACCCAAGGCCATGCTGAAAGCACCACCTTTTGACGGCGACTATGCGCCGTCCACTAGCGACACCGAGACTTTAACTGACCTTCCCGGGGCTCGAACACACGTCTAGCTCCTCCATCTCGGTGCCGCTCTACCGTCGTCACTGCGCATACAGCGGCCCTATAACCACTGCGCTACAGTGACGCATGCATGCTACATCCTCCCAAACACTACATGGACAAAGCAACATTCCCACAATAAACACAGTCCTCCACCAACATGCACGCAAAACCTGGTCCACCATCAAAACATACGATCCCCCACTCTTCAACCAACTGACATTCCCCCCACACGCCGTAGCAAGGCAGCACCGGCTATTCCACAGCTCAAAAACACTCGCACTAGGTCCCCCACCTCCACCTCTGTATAAATAACCACACAGCGGACCATGCGGCACCCGTACGAAGTTGTTCTCATAACAGTTGGGTGTGGCTGGTCCCAAAACAACACAACACTAAGCACTCATGACACCATCGCACTGACGGACTGATGTTACTCACCTAGAGTGACCTACAGCAAAGACGTGACCGAAAACTTTGAATATACCAACCAACCCTTCACCTCTATCCCAGTCTCGAGCGACTCACCTATCGCCTTCATCATCATCAATCACCATTATCATCATCCCCCTTATTATCATATTCATCAAGAAAATACAAAAAAATGAATAAAAATAAAAAAAAAGCGAGAACGCATGTATATATATAAATAGAGCCACCAACCCCCATCACCTACCTTTCTGATGCAGCCAAAGCCCCGACGGGTTCCCATCCTCCCCTCCCCCTTCCCCAACCCCAAACACCCCTCAACCACCTACAGCCAATCCAATTACGCGCAATGCGCCTTTCATCTTCTACAGTCTTTTCCATTTCCCTTTCTTTCTGGCCACTCTGCTCCTCCTCTTGTTCTTTTCCACTCTTTCCTAGTGGCACCGCAACAACAAAAAAAGATCCACCGCTGGGTAACATAGAACAGGTAACATAGAAACACCCATTGCACCCATAACAGACTCTCAGATAACATAGGAACACCCATAACACCACTACTGGCACTGCTCTTGCTTGCACCGTCTAACTCACGGCCTCTGCAGCGTGTCATTTTGATGTGTCATTCGTTGCCTGATAAATCATATTATTTGTTTATGTTGATATTTAATAGAAGAAAACATGCGGAAAAAGTAGCCGGATCAGTATCACCTCTAACACATCGTTTGAGTGCGGTTGGTCACAGTTTCTAAAAGATTTGGTCGCTATTACTTATGTGAAATTTTAATTCCTATATATTTTATTAAATACTTTACCTCGTTAAAAACAGTTATTTGTTTCAAATTTGACGTTCGATTTACGAAATGCATCATTTAGGCGCTGGGTAACATTTTGTATCATTTTGAGAGGTATAAAATATGCCTGCAAAGTATATGTTTGGATTGTATAAGCTGTAATGTTTGATGCATAAGCAATTAATCCTTCAGTTGTGGCTTACTAGTGTTGGTGTTGTTACTGAAATGTTATTACGTACAGTTGAGAACCAAATCGAAATACAGAAATCGACGAGCCATCAATCTTTTTGTGAACAATGTTAGGCTATTCGCAATCTAAAACGAAAAAATGTAAATAACTTTCCAAATGCTTGTTTACGATCTTTCAGTCCAAGGTTCAGTCCAGGAGACAAACCTGCTAGTATTTCGTAAATTCAAACCTGCTGGTAAATTCAACACTGGAAAGTCATTTATTCCCGATGTTATTCACTCCCGGTCAGGGTTTAGCTGACACAACAACCTTTTAAAAATATTCATACTTCCTGTATGTCAAGGACCCGAAATAGTTTGTAGTCGACATCCCTATAAAGGTTTAGGATTTTAATTCCCACCTTCTCAAAGACACGAGAATGGCCGGACTAAATACGAAGGCAGTGATCGCTATTCCAGAGCTTCATGTAACTTCATATCTTCCATTAGAGCTTCAGATCTTTCATTAAATGCTCACTGACAGCGAGGCTATCTTTAGTTAATTCAGTCTGATGAATTTCTCTAGTTGTCGTTTTCGCCAATTTCAGTCCTGGAGATATGCGTGCGCCTGTAATGGCTGACCGAAAATGCATCCGTATAATTGGCCGAGCTGATGTTAGTGTTACCAAGCAACTGGCATTCATACCGCCACTCTTGCATCATTTCCCTCGGTGAGGCAGGCATTGATTGTCTGGCATTCATTTTACACCTCTTAATGTAGTCTTATTGTATGTTATTTGCCTGGACTGCTGCCGTAGATTTATGTGACAGAAATATTGGTGGGACTCGTTTGTAGCTGTGTTTTTTCTTTTTGGATTTCCCACCGCTTTGTAAGATTTTTTTTTTATAAATTCGTGTCAGTATTTGAGTTAATACACTCTATATAACTAATCAATTGGATCAGCGATAAGTGGTTTGTGGCGTTTCTGAAGAAAATAAATTTTGTGCCGAAGTTGAGATGTTATATTACGTTGCATGATCATGAAGCCTCTTCGGTGGCCTCAGGCTTGGAGTTTGTCCCATTCAGATGCTGTTGTTGGTGTCGTATTGGCGAGTCGCTGACGTATAATATAACATAAATAATATAATATAATGACGTATGAACGCGCAATTGCTATTCATCCTGACCGGCTGCTAGCACCGTCATAAGGATTGGTCGGTGTTTAATATTTGAATTATTTATTATTTGAAAACTCCTGATTAAGAAAACGATTGTCTACATGTTATTCTACTTGTTATTTGAATAGCGAAATTCATAAGCGTCGACATATTTTGTTAGTACATATCCTAATTTGTTTTATTGGCAGGTATTAGAATGCGATTTATGAGATTCACTCTATCTATATTACTCTTATATCACCCCATTAACCTTCGTGTAGCAAAGATAACTTCGTATAACCACACAAGATCAATAAAATTTATCGACATAAATTATTAATGTCACAAATGTCTTTGCATTTCGTGCTCCGTACGGCTTTTTCACTGCAAATAAATGCGTGGATATCGCCTACAAACTTACTGCAGAATTATGTATCTATGTTATTGTCAGTTATGTCTCGAGGTTGGCAATAGTTTTGTCTTCCTTTCTCATAACTTGTCAGGATATGTCATTAACGCGACACTAACCTTGCTGTGGACAAAGACATCATAGTTATATTATTACGCTATCAATTTTTCTTGCAAGCCTCGCGTTCAAGTTCTACGCACGCATTGCAGTGAAGCGTTCCTCTAGCGCACGGTAGTCTTATCCGCTACAAAATGAGTCTTTCGTGATCAATTTCTTCGGTTGTTAATAATTGAGTTCTGATGTATTAACTGTGACATTCCATTAGATTTAGCGTCTTTTCTTATCGTGTCCTTTTGTTTAATGTGATAAATATTAAGTTTGTTCTTCCCTTAAATCGGCAGTTTGTGCTCTACAAGATAATCTTATAACAAAAACCAGTCCTCAAATGGGGACTTTATTGTGAGTAATCAGCAATTAATTAATGTCTTTTCCATATTTCGTTTACTGCCGATGTGGATTTTTCAGTTTACTGTTTGGTTCAACTTTCTTAACCCATAATAAGGCTCAGAAAGTTCCTAACATTATTCACCTATCTGGAACCGACGTGTAATAGTACGGCCTAGTAAATTGGAGAGCTGCAAGGCATACAGAAATGTTCCCGTTTTAAGAATTTCTAATTCTAGATCACCGAGGGTTACAAATTATGATCTTTCATTAAATGTTCACTAACAGCGAAGCTATCTTTAATTAAAATTCTTTGCGGATGTTTAAAAGTTTACTTTGGGTATGAAAGATTATAATTTATTGGACCAAATTTATTTCTTTTGTACGACAATACTAAAAATTTTTTCTTCACTTCGTCACAGTTCTTGTTTGCTGTAACGCGATTATATTCGTAATATTCTTTATTATGCGATTTAAGTAGAATTAAGCGTTACTTTTTCTTGCTATGTGATGTCTTTTATTTGCATTTCGAACGAATTTTTAGGAAGTTAATTTGCATCCTAAAAACATCGTGTTGAGCGTTAATAAAGAGAGAGTAAAGTAAAAATTAATAAATTTCTTTCTAAACGATGTCCCTACCATTGATATGAATTAGGTTACATTTCAACAGTCAGACTTCAGCGTCACGCTCACTCACTAGTTACTAACAAGCACTAGTCTTAAATGATCTTGAATATTTGATTTTTACTGCAAAATTAATCATTAAATAATGGTCTCCCTTGCTAGTTAGATATTTTCTACTGAAAGAGTCGAAATCATATGCTAAAATGAAATTCAAAGGCTTCAATGCAGTGTTGGTTGCTATAAGATCTAAAGCCACTCGTAGCCATATAACGGACACCTGAACAAATTCAAAATGTATCGAACCATTATTATAGAAACTTATAGCACACTAGGACTTGAGATTTACTTGTGAAGGGCTCCAGAAAGTTCACTCACAGCGAGAGTTCCTGAGGCGTCTAGAATGTATACAGCGAAATTTGTGAGAGAGTTCTAGAAGTCTAGAACCGTCTAGAAACTTCTAGAAGGCTGAATGTTCTGGACGTTTCACGAGAGAATTTCCAAAGTTTTGTGGGATAATTACAATTTTAGTTGCAGCGAGACAGAACAATAGACCGACAAAGCTGCTAATTAGCAATAACGGTTTCTATTTAACAGTATTTTAGTAAAGTTTACGTCCATACACATGCAAGTCATACATGGATAAATCAACTAAAGAGTCCGTAAAAGAAAAATGCTCCGAGGATTTAATAAAGTCGAGTAATTTTAGGCTGTCTCAATATAGATTGCAAGATTTGCACGATAAACCGATGAAAACACTTAAGAAATTTGCTACTGAGCCTACCGAACCAACATACATTTTAGAATGAAGTCCTGAAAGAGAGAAAGAATCTTTAAAATTGGCGATCTATGCCTGTCTTAATTAAAGAAATAAGAACGCTGACAAGTTCAAATTTTCGAATCGTCAGCTTTTTTTATCCCATTCAATGTGAACACATTTCGGACATTAATTTTGTAGACACGATCTTCAATAATGTAATGATTCTCCAATAATTACATTTACATGGAAGGCATATGAAAATAATACAAAAATGTTGAAAATAATAGAAATTGTCAGAATACATGAGGAGTAAAACCATCGAACATTCGAGATAAAGAAACAGCAGTCTACACAAAATCTATTTTGCTTTACAAAGCATGTTAGCAGAAAGTATTAAATCACGAATTGTTTTCGAACACGAATTTTGAAGCTTTAGATAAGAAGATTCAAGCGTGGAAGCTATTTTGATGTGAGCCTAAGTGCGCAGGGCGCGTGAACGAAAAGTTGTACTCAAGAAACTCCATATCAAAATAAATACTTGGAGTAGGGCACTATTTTCGGTGCAAGCTTATACATAAAATTGCAGAGAAAAATAGGTTGTAAATGTATAATTTGATAAAATTCCATGCCAGAACGAGAGAGACGATTTTACGATCGAGGGTTATGATTGATTGATCTTGGTTAAAATATGTAAGCAAGCATAAATGCCGATTAAGAATTAAAGGAAGGTATCAAGTAAAAGATGTCACGTCAGCCCCGATGATCAGCTGGCCAGCGCCTGCAGTAGCTTGTCCCGTTCATCAGGGAGTTCGTCCAGTCGCTGGCTGGGCCTGGAAATAAATCCTGATTAATTAATGACAAATTCGTTTAGAGTTCATGAAAGAAATAAGGTTCCACACTGAATTTAATTTAAGGTAAAAGCTACATTTACGACGGCTCTCGAAAAATCTATCACACGAAAACAGTGATTTACAATTGGTTTTACGTTAATTTCACTTTCTCTATCGATGTACTAGTATTCATTAAAATCTTGCACTCATGATGGAGCTGGCCTCCGAAATTATTTCCATGAAGATAAGGGGAATTTACCTGCGTTTTCATTCTCTTAAATTCCTGGAAAATAGTTCTTGACAAAGGGGCATGAATTTGGCTTTACAATAGCTTCTGTAACCAAGCATTCAAAAATATAAATATTTCTGCACTAGCGAAGATGAATGGCCTCAGTTCAACATCATTAAAAACAAAAATAAAAAACAACACATAGACGGCCCATTAGATCAGTAGGTAGGTGATAGCTAAGCCAGAGAGGCTTTGAGAGCAAGAATACATTAGATGAAACGCAAAATTGACCGACATTATAAATGAAAATCCTGAGGCGGTGATGAGCTAAAGTCTTGAGGGGAAAAAAAGACATAAAATTGGAATTAAGAAGTGAGCAATGAGCATTGAAACGAATAAAGAACCAAGATAGAAATCACCAACTGTGCATGAAATGCCAAGCGTATAAAAGAGAAGAAATACCGACTATTGAATACTGAGGATAGAAATAAATTCCTGGGGATGAAATACTGAGCTGCGACGAGAGCAAAGGAGGAAGGAGATTAAGTGCTTAGTGCACTATCTTATCACTGATAAGAACATGTCTGGGAATAAATGCAGACTTGTTCATCAAATACTGATCGGTGCAGAAACATGACTTGGAGAAATTACAGACCTGGGACTGTAATGTAAAAAATAGCTATTATGATTTGACAGTACGGGCTCTGGTGATCAAATTTGAAGCCATACGAATAACATTGCTGGAAGAATCATATACCGTACCTGGAGATAAAATACTGCAGCGTGTTACCAAGTACCAATCATATACCTGGAGATAAAATACTGCAGCGTGTTACCAAGTACCAATCATATACCTGGAGATAAAATACTGCAGCGTGTTCTTAGCGTCCTGGGGGAAGTATGTCTCCTTGACGAGCACAGCCAGGCTCTTCAAAACTCCGCGCTGCTCCCACGTCACCGAAAAGTTCTTATCCTGAACAATTTGATATCAATGAGAGAAATTCATCACGGAAATGGTGACTTAGTTAAGTAGTCAAATTACTCCAATGTTTCATCGCAACAATGAAATTGAATAACGGCTGAAATATCAGATGGTTATAAATAACTGTTAATTTCATAACAGAGCTAATGAAGCTAACACCTCACACTTAATTAGCCCCAGGTACACGCACCTCACACTTAATTAGCCCCAGGTACACGCACCTCACACTTAATTAGCCCCAGGTACACGCACCTCACACTTAATTAGCCCCAGGTAGACGAGTAGCGTGTTGGTCGTGAAGGACACCAGAAGATGTTGGTTTGCACGAGAGAAAATCGCCTTGCCGAGCGTCTGCACCACGGACGCCGTTGCAGCCAGCAGCTGAAATTTGCCATAACAGTTGTAAAATAATTGAATTATTGAGAACAAAATATTTATTAAAGGTGAGAAAGTTTAATACTATAAAATTTGATTAATTGATAGCAAAAGACAAAGCTTTTGACATTCTTTGAGATTTCCCTTCCATAAGCAGATGTTTTCTTACAAGTAATTTCCATATTCGTGGTATTTCCTACTACTGTACATCCAATTCTGAAACCTTGTTATTGCAAAATATCCAGGTTATTTCAATGGAATTTCAACAAATAATCCTGATTATCTTGCAAATTTTTATGAAAATAACTTTTTCGCGAGCTTCAGGATAGAAGAATATTTCTAAACCCAGCAGCTGTATATGAGAATATTCCTATACTCTGCAGCTGTATAATGGAAGATTATTTCTCTACCTGGCAGCTGTACATTAGGAGAATATTCCTACCTATACTCTGCAGCTGAATAATTGAAGAATATTTCTCTACCTGGCAGCTATATAATGGAAGAATATTTCTATACCCTGCAGCTGTATAATAGAATAATAATTCTATACCCGGCAGCTGTATAGCCGGAGCACATAACATCACCATAGTACAAGTCACCATATTAGTTTTGACTAATGAAAAAAAAATAATGACTACCGGTAGTGAAAATAAAAGCCTAGTGTAGAGTCGTCACATTAGTTTTGCCTGATGTTCAGAGTGAAAATAAAAGCCTAGTGCAGAGACCTGTTTATCGTCAGTGTGAGACAAAGCAGCTGACTGCACTAGGAGCCGCACAAGGCTGCTGATCTCCTGGTCAGGCGTAGTGCAGTCAGCAGTGGCAGCCGCTGTCAGCGCCTCGGTGGTCAGCTGTGACACAGGCAAGCCCAGGAGACGAGCGGCCGTGGGGGAACACACGTACTCCGCTGCAGTGCCCTGCGTAGAGTTAATTGATTTATTAGTGGGTTAACAGTAACTAAGTGGGCTACCAATCACTTAGTGGGTTACCAATCACTTAGTGGGCCAACTATCACTTAGTGGGTCACCAACCACTTAGTGGGTCACCAATCACTTAGTGGGTCACCAACCACTTGTTTATTGACTATCACAGTTTAATGAGTTATGAATAGAGAAGTAAATATGGGATAAAAAAGACTACCTACCTATGTTCTGCATAACAACCATGAGACTACCTCATTCCGAAATAAATTCTCCATTCTTATACACACTCCTTCCTGTTTTTTCTAGCAATGAAGAAATATCGGTGACGTGATGAACCAATAAAAGCTTCACATATTCAATGCTCAGTCTAGCTCAGATAATTTGAGCGTCGTGAAGTGAAAGTGAAATTAGCAAAATTATGAATTTCAGTGGTGTCAGCAATTAAAAACAAGGTGTGAATAAAAATTTTAAACAATTTATGTTTCTGTGCGTTTTAGGTGACAGACAACAAGAAGCACAATATCCTTTCCTCCACTTAATCAAATTTAAGAAATTGGCCTCAGGTATTTCTTATTGCAGACAAAAGAATATATTACAGCAAAATGGCCGCAATTAAAAGAGAAAAAGTTAAAAAAAAATTATCTCCAACAAGAGGATATTTCGTGTAATTTACAAAGGATTGTACAGGATTATCCTTGCATTAAGTAATTACAGCATAGCAAGCACTGCACACTGCAACATTAGTCTTGGCCTGAGGTCTTCAACTGCCTGAAATGCAAGTGATTATCATTGCTAACAAATGGAAACAATGGAATAAATGGGATGTAATTCAGCTATCGTTGTTAAGCATAACAAATAATAAAATTGAAGAAGAAACTACATCACAAACCAGTGTCGGCAAACAATAATGTAATAACAATAATAATAATAGTACCGACTTATATATCTCAACTTGTAGAGTTATCGGAGGATCAACATGTCTAGTTCAAATTTAGAATAATTAAGTCCCTTTTTCAATGCTTGGCTCAAGACAAAAAAAAAAAAAAATTGCTAGACTGACATAGGTATGAATAATAATAATTATTCAATAATATGAGAACACAGGAAGATTTTTTTTTACATGAATAATTATAGAACTTCTATTCTTTATCTCTTGATAAAAGCTAGCACAATTGAAGGGAATCCACTATGAAATCACATTACACGTTTCGCGTGTACCTTAATTAATTCATTTACATTGTTTTTGTATTAACTGTATTTTCACAAAACTCTTATATAAAATATTTACACGAGAATCCTTTAACGAATATAAAATGAGTCATCATGATTAATCTAGTGAAACATGATTGTAGTGCCAAGAACCCCTTTGATTGATGATTATTAACTACTACAATTCAAGTGATTATTCAATTCTACAAACATATAACTCAACACTTTAGTGCTCACCTCCACAGGGCTTATTGGCCCAACAATAAAACTGGAGTCGAGGGGCTCCGCTGTTTTGCTTGCAGGCTTCACCAGCACCTCAGACACAACCTCAACATCAGAGCCATCTGAGTCACTTTCGTCTGCCGCTGCAACCTTCTCCTCTTCACTATCTTCTTCACTAGACTCACTTTCATCATCTTCATTGTCATCCTCATCTTCATCGTCATCTTGTTCCTCTTCAGAGTCAGTAGGTGCATTGTTCTCCAAAGGAACCCAAGCGTCCAGCTTCCCAACGTCTCTTAGGAAATTTTCGATCATTTCTTGGCCACGTTCGCCTGAAATTTAAATTTTTCAAATAAATCTCCACGCACACATATTTGACTTAATGAACATAGAATTAATCATGAGTGACTGTAATTGTAATTAAAACTTCTTGATGCACTCACCAGTAAAATTGGAGATGAATAATTCCAGTAAATAATGAATAGGTACTGTTCTGTATGTATGTATTTAAGCAAAAGTTGTGTACTTTTATCATCACCATCACACACGAACCAAACAATATCCACTTTTTAGCGCATTTTCTCATTTATGGAAAAAATGCACTATATTGTGCTCGCCATGTCCGTCCGTCCGTCCGTCTGTCTGTCTGTCTGTCCGTCCGTCCGTGACCTCAAGTTTTCGTCGACGAGAAAATGCGCTCTCTGTCACTCACTGCAGCAAGTACTGAGTTATATTTTTTTAATATTATTTTAGTGGCTGTCGCGGTTATAGCAACTTGACATCAAATCCGAAAATTTGAACAGCTTTTTATGAAACACCCGAGTAATAACGAGGTTATTAACGTATATAAGTAATAAGCGCAGCTTCAACTCTCACCAAACATGTTGTCATCCATCATAAGTTTGGTAAGGTTTGGTTTGTTCTGCACAGCCTCTACGACGGACAGGCCACCTTCAGCCGTCAGTTCGTTACCATCCAAGTACAGCTCCTGTGAAAAATAGTTTTGAAATGTCATGCGCAACCTCGATACAGAACAGATGATGTGATATCTCAACTTTGTTGTCTTAGGCTGCATCGATTGTGGACTTGAATGAACTATCTATTGATTGACACGACTATTCCAATAACCATCAATATAAAGATCAGTTTAGATTTCTACCTAGCCCTTGAGAGCAATTAAAAAAGAACGTACTTTTACAACATTCCACACCAAAAAACATCAATACATTATCGTGAGAACTCGATCACAATATTCACTGATTCATAATGAACTATGAATGCACTCTGGTTGATAAAGAAAAAATAGTTCACCCCACATACCAAGAGTTTTATAAATATATACCTTGAGTTTTTATAACAATATATACCTTGAGTTTCATATGCCCAGGCATGAGGGCTACAGCAAGAGCGCTCGCGCCCGAGGTCTTCAACAAGCAGTCGCCGAAGTTGATCACTTCCAAGGCTTGCATCTTGGGCAAATACTTGGCCATCGCCACGCCACCTTTCTTCGTAAACGTGCTGAGGAGACATAAGAAAACTTAATAAGAAAATAAACAAGAACGCCACATTTCTTCGTAAACGTGCTGAGGAGACATAAGAAAACTTATAAGAAAATAAACAAGAACGCCACATTTCTTCGTGAACGTGCTGAGGGAACATAAGAAAACTTAATAAGAAAATAAACAAGAACGCCACCTTTCTTCGTAAACGTGCTGAGGAGACATAAGAAAACTTAATAAGAAAATAAACAAGAATGCCACCTTTCTTCGTAAACGTGCTGAGGAGACATAAGAAAACTTGAGAAAATAAACAAGAACGCCACCTTTAAACGTGCTGAGGAGACATAAGAAAACTTAATAAGAAAATAAACAAGAATGCCACCTTTCTTCGTAAACGTGCTGAGGAGACATAAGAAAACTTGAGAAAATAAACAAGAACGCCACCTTTCTTTGTAAACGTGCTGAGGGAACATAAGAAAACTTAACAAGAAAATAGACAAGATGTTTGAGTGCTCTTGTGGCTTTGGGGACATTCTGGGAGAATGAATTAACCCCCATAAGCATTACAAATCCAGCACTGACATCGAGACATTCAGGACATCAACATTGGAAATTCCTGAGACATGCAATGCAACGGGAAGAGTACATAACATAAATATTTGGCTTCAGCTTTGTGAGAGGCCTTGCTCTTCATCTCTTTAAAAAATCTAATTTAGTGATTGACAAAAAATAATAATAATTATTTATAAACGTCACCTGCATTTCGCACCCAATTTGTGCAAACAATCTTTGAAATAAATATCTAGATATGGCTAATAAAAATAATTTCAAATCTGTTGGCTCACACAACAACAGCCCAAAATGATTTACCTCTGCGATTTCTCATATGTTTTTAACACATGAGCTTCATTTAGATATCCTTGCATCAGCAGCATTTGACCATTTCCATAACTTTACCTATTTCATGTTACAAAAAAATAACCGTTTACATCTTCCACACATAGATCAACATTGTTAATGTTGAAATAAAAAAAACTTCAGGTTTAATGTTAAAAGCACTGCAATAAGTCACAAACATTTATAAGGAAAACAAAGAGATTGGAACTGTTTACCAAACCTATACGGCTATCAACAACAAGAAACTAAGAAAACAATTACTTACAAAGTATTATATAATTTCACTTAAATAAATCCTAATTCCAGATTCATTTCATTCACACATCTACGAAGAAATCAAACCCTGTTCACAGCCAAGACTCGTTGGCAACACGCACTTGTCATTGAGGTTGAGGACCTGCAAGTTGGGGTTAATTACTCATAGATATTGACAATCATCTCATTCACACATCTACGATGAAACCATAACCTGTTCACAGCCAAGACTCGCTGGCAACGCACTTGTCATTGAGGTTGAGGACCCGCAAGTTGGGGTTTTTTTCTCATAGATGTTGACAATCATTTCATTCACACATCTACGATGAAACCATACCTATTCTCAGCCAAGACTCATTGGCAACACACACTTGTCATTGAGGTTGAGGACCCGCAAGTTGGGGTTGTGGCTCAGAGCTTCAGCGAGGGCAGCGATGCCTTCATGAAAGATGCCATTCTGAGGCATGGCCACCTCCTCCAGGGAGCCCAGACGTCGGAATATTCCAGCATATATTTTGGCACCCACTTTCTCGAGACGGTTTCTGCCAGCAATAAACACCTGTGTGAGGAGAATGGAATTAGAGAAATACTTGAGAAAGTCTTTAAAATTGAAATGTTTTTAGAAAAAACATCAGGGTTTACATGACTTGAGAGTAACTACATACAATAATTAAATAATTAAACTGGATGATCATACAAAACATTCTAAAAGAACATTATTTTCGTCAACTAACTTCTTGTGTGCAAAAAAAATAAAAAAGTTACATGGAGTCACATGAATAAGAGTTTTAGTAACTAGGAATTTAAAAGCAAAGAAAACAGCCAGAATATCAACCATTTCTTAAGAATGAAAACATTTCGTAGTCCAGCTCCATCGTCAGTTCAAAAGTTCAACTAACTAGCTAAAGTTCTGATTAAGTAGTAGGTACCACCTACTATTCTTCAAAAAACTTTCAGTGAAGCCTTGAAATTCATTAGTATTATATTATTCAAAAACATAAAAAATGCTATTCTTTCATTAACAAGAATAATGAAATACTGTCAAAAACTGCAATGAATAAACATAGTCATAAACTTGAATAATTAAGTGATAAAAGAACTCAAAATCAAGACTATCAGAAATTGAACTAATAAGAAGGAGCCTGAGCACGTCTTTAACCTTGAGCTTCCATGGCCTGCCATCCCTGGTGCTGTTGTCAATTAACTTCTCCAGGGACTTGGCTAGCATCGTCCCGCCTGTGATCCCAAGACCATTGTTATTCAGGCGTAATTCCTGCACACGTAAAACACCTATATTAAAACACCTATATTAGTATGGTATACATTACAGACGTAATTCTTGCACACGTAAAACACCTATATTAGTATGGTATACATTACAAGACATTTCTCAATAAGGACAAGTCTTGAACCAATGCAACAGACTTCTCGTCCAAATTATGATAATGTAGACAATAAAATTTAATTTTTCTGTGATCCTATCTGAGAATAAAAGTCATCATTGGATTTAAAGCAACATGAACTTCAAACATGAAATTTATTTTAATGTCAATTAATATAGATAATTCAAAAAGCTTTTGGACACTTATCTAAAAATCTAAAAATAATGTAATACCTACACACATTGTTTTCACAACTGTTGAGATAACAGAACAATTCAGAGTATATATACAACAACATTATATTCTTTCCATGATGAAAGCAGATTACAAAATCATTGCATTATGACTGGGTTCTATTAACTGGAATCGCATACTGAATAAACCTGCAAGGCATCTTTTAGTGCCTCTTGATCTGAGATGTGTTGTCTGATATATATCAGTTTTGGGTAAATTGGAATAAAAACAACATAAGTGACACAATGAGTACCTAGCAAATTGCTTCCTTTAAACATACATTCCCCTTTCATAGATTTGCAATTAAAAGCCAACAAGTTAATCAAGCAAGGGCTTAAAATCAATGTATAATCATTGCATACAAGAGTAAGGAATATAATTAAGTACCTATTTAAATGAACCTTAACAGTACCTCTGATTCAGAGTACGGTACTCTGATATCAACATTCAAGTAAATTATCATGTGATAATGGCAAGCCAGTTAAATATATGATACCTCTAAAGTATAGCATGAACGTGACGACATGAAGTCAACCATGCCCTCCACACCCACGGGGCCAAGAGCATTGTCACTCAGGTCCAGCTCAACCAGCTGTGCATTGGCTCGATTTATTCCCGAGAAAAGATGTTTCTGCAAAATTATTATTAGTATTATTATGTAATAAGCTTGGTTGGATGTTAGAAATAAAGTCTTTAAACAGAAGGATTTTGGGCAGAAGAGATCGGTACACTTGACAAGCAATAACAATAGAATTGATAATAATGCCTTGGCACTTCAGTTTCCAAACATAGAAGCTGCCTAAAACTTAGTCATGACACAATATTGCAATGTTAATCTCTTATTCAACAGAAGAGTAGATCTAAATAAATACTAACATAGGAAAGCACATTGTGCATAATAACCATTATGGAAAAGAACAGAAGTTGTAATCAGAATTAATGTAATGAAGATCGAATATTTTAGCTAAACTGTTACCACTTGGTAACAGTTTATAATAATATGATCCTTAGGACCATAAATACAAATTTAACAAAATATAAGAAGGGGGGAGAACAAAATTCAAAATCTTAGGACAAAATGTGAATTAAAATGCAGGAAACAAAATTGGCAAAATTTAATTATATTAATTCTTTAACATAATCCACACTAATTATATACAGGTAGGTGCACCCATCATCTTGTTAAATAACTACCAGGGCAAGAGGTATTTCAGTCTTGAGTCTTCCAGTGAAGAGATCTTTAAAGTGGGCTCGTTTAAACTCAGGGTGTTTAGCCAGGGCATCTCCAATGACTTTAGCAGCATCAGGACCCAAGGTGTTGTTCTCCAAGTCAAGTGTCACCAAGTTTGGATGTTCTTCAATGGCTTTTGCAACTGGAGCAGCTAGAATTAAAGAGATAATTGTTATAAAACACATACAACTTTCAATTTATAGATACACTCTACTATAGAAAAATCTAAACAATAATAATTCAGACATTAAACTTCCATTTGCTATCTAAGACTCACACCTAAATAAGGGAATATTGTCACAAATATAAATAGAAAATTGCACAAAACCTGCAATATATATTTATAAAGGAAAGAAAAATAACACTTCAACTATACGTACAGGAGACAAATTTCCGAATTGAAATACTGATTTAATCAGAGGAAAACAATGAATCTTCTCCTTTCAATTTCATGGGAAACCAAGAATACATGGGCCACATAAAAATAATTAAATTTATAGCAGTTATTACTGAATAATTGATTTAGTGATTGATATTAAAAATCCATTGAACTAGAAGCAACTACCAACAAATTGAGTAATAAGGGACAGTTTTGAAAGCAATGCTATGCTATTTTTAAGGTGCCAAGTGCAAAATAAAAGCATCCCCAATCACCCTTGGGAATGGGATAATTCGGGACACTAGGAACAAAACTTAATTTTAAAACGTTTGAAGCATGCAGAGTGTACTCATCCATTACTAACAGTACTCTGAAGACCTCCTCTTCCTTTGTAGCTGTAGAATAAATGACATTTTCTGTGATTTTTACTTGTCTTTCATTTTTTGATATGATATTACCATATCCATACATTAATACCGTATTATTGATGTGATATGTTATTACCATATCCATGGACATGCCATTGAGCATTGACAACGACCTTGTCCACTGCAAGCTTCATAGCAGCTGTATAGCATTTCTTCTGTATCTTTAAGCTTACAGGATGGTTTGTAATTTTTCACCATTTTAATTAGTTAGTTTAGTTTAAGATATAGTTTAGGTAAATTACTTTTCATTCTATGTTGCCTGGTGCACAATTCTATCTATAATGTGGGCTGCTATTATATTCAAGCTAAGAACTCTTAGGAGGAATGATGAGACAATTGATATACCGTAAACTGGGGTAACTTTGACCACTTTTTTTTCAAAATGATGCCATTTTTTTACTTGATAAGTTAAACTTAAATTGAAACATGCAAAATACAGGTCTATACTCTAGCTTTACTTACCATAAATTGCTGGCTCCTGCCTCTCATAGTTTTGACGTAATTAAAAAAAAATCGCTGGTCTTTTTTACCCCAGCTCTGGGGGTATCTTTGACCGGGTGGTAAAATCAATTTTATTTTTTGGTAAAATAACTCCAAATAACTTCATGCACTGTAGTAGAACTCTTCTAGTTACATATGCAAAAGAACAATTTTAGGAAAGTGTCATAGTTTGCAAATGGGGGTGCTGCCCCCAAATGGGCAAAATGTGACCATCTAATGGCAGCCGTGATGGGGTAACATTGACCAGTTTGGAAATTAAGTTAAAATTACCATATATAAGACTCTGTAGAGCCTGAAACATGAAGAAAAAAACATTAATAGGTGTATCAAACATAAAATATGTTATATAGGTACCTATGGTAATTTTAACTTAATTTCCAAGCCGGTCAATGTTACCCCGTCACGGCTGCCATTAGGTGGTCAAAGTTACCCCATTGGGGGGTGGTGCCCCCCATTTGCAAATTATGACACTTTTTGCAAATTTGTCTTTTGCATATGTAACTAGAACTAGAAGAGTTCTACTACAATGCATCAAAACCTGGAGTTATTTTGCCAAAAAATAAAAAAATTGGAGGGGGTACTCTGACAGGCTTTAAAAAATAGCTTTTTTTCGTGGGTCACATTTTAATTTTTTTAACCTATTAGATATGCAAACTTTTTAAATCTTTCTATTGTGTTACGTAGCCTCAGTATTAGGTCTTTAATGCCCATTGACAAAATTTTTCTATGTCAAATGGTTTTTGAGTTTTGGGGGTTTTTGTTAAAAAAACCAAAAGTGGTCAAAGTTACCCCGGGAGTCAAAGTTACCCCAGTTTACGGTAGTATATGTATGGCATGGTCAAGTTTGTGTCGAGACCAAAAAAAGTGACAAGATTTCATTCAACAATTGCAAGTCTGACCTGGCTGATCTTGAGGCGTCATTGGTCATCCCAAGTGCCTGAAGCTCCGCCTCTTGTCACTATTATTGCCAGTCTCTATCACTTCTACTATGGCTGAGTTAATCTATCCTAGTCCATCCCTTGAAGATAAATTGGATCCCTGTGACGTACTGTCACAGGGATCCAATCATGCTAGAACGTGTGCAACGTCACAGCCACTGGAATCCAATCAGCGTTAGAAAGCTAGAAGGGACCGCCTCAAATGCATACAATGTTAACGCACTGATGCTAACTTAATGCGTAACGCTACAATTCTTATTTCAAGAGCATAATACAATAGTGTACCGTAGTTATGTCATTATTGATGGAAATTGCAGAGAATAACATCTTCACTATGTACAATCACTCGCAAATACATGAAAAATTTCCTATGATTCAATCCACAAATACTAAACTGACCACCGATGCAATCAGCTGAGACATACAATCTCCTTTTGTTGCGATCAGCCGAATGAAAAACGTTAACAAAGAAGGTAGCAGGGATACCGACCGCACCGGCAACCAATGTGAAACCGACATCAATATAGACATGTGAAAAAATGAAAGATACAAATTCTTCCATATCAAAAATTTATCAGTAACTGACATTCAACAGAAATCAGAATGGTTTAATAATCTTTGTAAATATTATACATGCATGCATGCAGAATCAATCGTGTGTAACAGTGGCGGGAATGTAATGATGGTTAGTGTAGTGGTTAGTTCTCATTAAGCAATCGGTGGGTAAGGTAACTACAGAACATTACTGCAGATAAAGCTCCCGAACTTCGAGACGATAATTGAGTGAAAACTTTACATGACATATTGTGAGCCTTCTAAAGTTTTAATAATGAAGAAATCACCAGGTTCATAGAATCTAAAGGTTTGAATGCTAAATTTTTGACTTTTGAGTCTATTCTAGTCAGTCAACTGTGAAGTGTCATGTTGTTTGTTATGCATTGCCTTTTCTTCGAGAAGTTTCTCCAACTGCTGAGGAGTTTCTCCTCAATTTGAAAGCTGAGGTAACGAATAGGTGCCATGAATGTTTTTTTTTTATATTTAATTTGAAACTATTATGTTGGGAGTAAATAGTATTTCCTTCTGTAGATCCATCCATTTTGCTCATCTGTGAGTGACGCGTGCAATTAACAATCTTGCATGGGACCTTCTCTGTGTTGCCTGACTTGACGTTCATACAATCATAGCTACCGCAACCGAAGCCCACTTCTGACAGCCTGCAAACCTGTTTCTAGTTGCCTTGAACATTTTTCTAAGGCAGAACACTTTTTTTTATGTGAACCACAAATTTTAGAATTCCAGCCTGTGGCATAGCCAGAGCTGGGCAGCGCTACTTGGAAATGTAGCATCGCTACCGCTACATGCTCTAAATGTAGCGGGCGCTACCGCTACCACTACACCCACTAGATTGTAACGGGCGCTACCGCTACCGCTACAGTAAAATGTAGCGC